GCGAAGACATTGAGCGAAGACGCCGAGCGAAGACATCGAGCGAAGACATTGAGCGAAGACGCCGAGCGAAGACGTTGAGCGAAGACGCAGAGAGAAGACGCAGAGCGAAGACGATGAGCGAAGACGCCGAGCGAAGACATTGAGCGAAGACGATGAGCGAAGACGTTGAGCGAAGACGCAGAGGGAAGACGCAGAGCGAAGACGCAGTGCGAAGACCTCGAGCAAAGACCTCGAGCGAAGACGATGAGCGAAGACGTCGAGCGAAGACGCCGAGCGAAGACGCCGAGCGAACGCTTCAAAACGCCTCCACTCGAGCTGCAAGTCTTTTAAAGACGAGAGCAGCACAAACTGTTGGTTTTCAGAACGATCGAGCTTCAGCTGTGAGAACTGTTTCTGGAGATCCACGGAGCTTCTGTTGGGCTGAACACAAACTGTGGTGATGAATGTTAAAAGCTTTTTGGTATCGGAATGAATTATTTTAAACTTTAAAAGAGAAAATGTGATAAAAATGGAATTGTTCACGTGTCAGTCACCTGCTGGAACAAATTAAATCTGTAATTGTTCTACTAACTGCAAGGAGTGTACTCGTTTTTAAAGCTGCATCGTGCGGTTCCACCACAGCCGAAGGTTCATGAGGGCTCATACTTTCAGATGAGAGAAAGAGGCGAAGGGGTTCTCCACTCAGCTGTAAAACATCTGGAACTGTGAACGGATCCAGAAACACCAGGGAGGTCAAACCGGGTCGTGTTGGCTTCAACCTGCACGTTCAGTCATAAGGCTTGGTGAGCGGGGGGGGTCTCGTGGATCATCACAACGGTTTCACTTGGATGACGTTGACCTGCGATGAACCTCCAGCCTTGGAGGCGACGTCCAGCTGCTGCAGGTCGTCGCTGGTGATGATGAAGACGATGGAGGAGGAGTTGAAGGTGACCCTCTTCTTGGGCCGCTCCCGGCCGTCACACGAGCTGGACACGACGATGGGCCGGACGGGGCGCGCGGCCGGAGTCAGGGGCCGCTCTTTGAGGTTGCGCTGGAGCCACGAGATCCTCGAGCAGAGCAGCTGCAGGAAACAGCGCCGGAACTGGAACAGAACCAGGAGACAAGAGGCGAGGATGAAGAAGCTCATCAATCACAAACAAACATGGTCGAAACCAGCGGAGATCGACGAGACACTTCCTGTCCCACGTGTGATGACCACTGACTGTAACCTACACGATGAGGCAACAGCCAGATGTTTTTGTAAAATTAAAACCAATAAAATCTATTTTTTAAATTCCACCACTGAAACTTCCTCCATGTACGAGACACCGGCTTTGCAAACGTCACAAGTCAACCCAGTTTGTTGCAGCTGCTGAGCTGGGGAGGTGTTTGCTCCACCAGCAGGAGACAAGTCTTCACGAACCTTTCTGCTCATGAACACGTAGATGAGGGGGTTGTACGCCGTGCTGGACTTGGCGAAGAACGAGGGGATGATGGCCACTGTGGGGGAGATGATGCTCGTCCTGCTGAAGGCCTCCATCATGGACACGACCGCGTAGGGAGTCCAGCACACCAGGAAGCAGGAAATCATCAGGAGGAACATGGCCGCCACCTTCTTCTCGTAGCGCAACATCTTGATGATCTGAAGCGTCTGGAGGTCTTCGATGGAGCGCAGCTGCAAGACGCCGGAGAGAATAACATGACGTCATCAACACTTTACTGGAGGAAGAAGATAGAAATCATTCATTTCTGGTCATTTAATAATACAAAGTTTCAGTAAATTGCATTTTACGAACTCTGAACAAAACCATGTTGTTGGTATTTCTACCTGTCCAGGTGACAAAGTTCACGATGAGCGGCTGGAGTTTGTCATTATTAGGTGCAACAATGAAGTTGGTTGTTTTAGTCACATTATGTTCAAATATATTTTCTATAACTATATTTCAAACAGGTGGCACGGTGGCGCAGTTGGTTGAGCTGTTGCCTCTCAGCCAGAAGATCGTCGGATCAAATCCCAGCCCAGGACCCTTCTGGATGGAGCTTGCATGTTCTCCCATTGCTGCGTGGGTTTTCTCCCACAGACCAAAAACATGTTAGACTGACTGGTAACTCTAAAGTGTCCCTATGTGTCCCTGTGATGGACTGGAGACACGACATGGGTGTCCCCCGCCTCTCGCAGTGATGGCTGGGTATGGACGACAGTGACCCGACAACCAAGAAGCAGGTAAAAATAATGGATGGATGAATGGATGAATGGATGGATGAATGAATGAATGGATGTATTTAAAACTCCTGTTCGGGGCCAGTGTTGAATATTTTAAATCCAGATTTATTCTTGTGTTTTCCCATGAATGTATGATTTAACAAAGGAACCCTTCCTGAAGCACGAGTCTAAACTTTTAAAGTTAAATAATTCTAAAATCACACGACAGTCGTGGCAGAACACAGCGGAGCGAGGCGGAGGGAGGCGGAGCGAGGCAGAGGGAGGCGGAGCGAGGCGGAGGGAGGCGGAGCGAGGTGGAGGGAGGCGGAGCTCAGAGGACTGGGGTTGGGTCGGTTTGAAGCGAGCAGGTTCCTGTAAACCATGTGAATGTGTGGTGCCACTTCTCCTTCCCCTCGAGAAGCGGGTCAGAACACGATGACGGACAGAACTTGGAGACCAACATGGCAGCAGCTCAGTGACCCTGCAGACGTCGTTTTTTCCAACGGTGTCCGTTTTATTTATGCTCTCTTCTTCAGAGTCTCCGTCTGTTTCCACGGTAACGCTTTTCAGAAATCTACGATGAGATTGTCCGATTCTGGTGAAGCGGGTCGGAAAGAAGCTCCACAGAACCCTGACTCTTCGAAGGTGTTCCCAAGCGCCGTGACGTGAGACGACTCCTCCCAGATCTCCGGCGCTCGGGGAATCCGCCGCTCACACTTCCTGGTGAGGCTGTAAACACTGAAGGAAGGAAACTGATGGAGAAAAGATGGAGGTCGACGGTGTTCCTGCTCTGCGTTAGAGCCTCGTTCTTCTGACGTTCGTTAAAAATAGGCTAATTTGCTGCTTCCTTAAAGATCTCGTGTTTTTCTAAGAATGGTTATAAGGAAATTATAAATCATTTTCAACCTCAGAGGGACTTTATTCAGAAAGAAGCAGGACGAGTGAAAAAAACATTAAAGACTATAATAATAATGAACTTTATAATAAATTTAATAAAGAAGCACTTTGTCAAGAACTTAGAAAACAAAAAAGACTCTGCAGTGTCCAGAATTTGAATTATAATTCAATTCAGTTCAGTTTATTTATGAAGCTCCAAGTCACAACAGAAGTCGTCTGAACAGAAACATTCATCTATAAAATAATAATTTAAAACCGAAACATTCAAATATAAAATAATAATTTAACAGAAACATTCAAATAT